TTTTTTTTTTTTTTTTTTTTTTTTTTTTTTTTTTTTTCCTCTAGTTGTATTGAGAAATGAATCGGCGTCATGTTTCACCTTGGCTGAATGCTCAAGGTGAGTTGGAGAGAAGTGGGAGATGAGATATCCCTTTTCTCTCTCTCCTCCACTCACATTTTTCAACCTTTATTTCCTTATTTGCCTGTTGTATTAAGAACTGAATTGGTGCCAAGTGTCATCTTGGCGTAATGCTAAAGGTAGGTAGGAGGGAAGTGAGAGATGACGATCTCATTTTTGTCTCTCTTTGCCACTCACATTTTTCCACCTTTTTTATTAATTTGCCTGCTATATTTGCAAACACACAAACTACTAGTGTCATCTTGGTTGAATGCTCAAGGTGGGTGGGAGAGAAATGAGAGATGAAGATCCTCCTTTTCTCTATGTCCCACACTCACATTTTTCAACCTTTTTTTTTTTATTTGTCCGGTGTATTTAGAAACGGATCGGCGTCAAGTGTTATCTTTGTTTAATGCTCGAGGTGTGTGGGAGTGAACTAGAAGATGAAGATTTCTCTTTTCTCTCTCTCCCACTCATTTATTTCGTTTTTTTTTTTTTTTTTCTTGGGGGCAGTTGTATTCAACAACGAATTCGCGCCAAATGTGATTTTAGTTGAATGCTTAAGGTGGATGGGAGGGAAGTGGGAGATGAAATCTCACATTTCTCTCTCTTTCACACTCACATTTTTCGACCTTATTTTATTTATGTGCCTCCTGTATTTGCAAACGAATCAGCGCTTAGTGTCATAGTAGTTCAATGCTCAAGGCGGGTGGGAGGGAAGCGGGAGATGAAGATCTCCGTTTTCTCTCTCTCCCACTCATTTATTTCGATTTTTTTTTTCTTTCGTCTTTTGTTATTAAAAACAAATTGGCGCCAAGTGTGATCTTGGCTAAATGTTGAAGTTGGGTGGGAGAAATAAGAGATAAAAATTTCCCTTTTCTCTCTCTCCTACTCATTTATTTCATTTTTTTTTCTTTTCGTAGTTGTATTCAAAAACGAATTGGCGCCAAGTGTCATTTTGGTTGAGTGTTAAAGGTGGGTGGGAGAGAAGTGAGACATGAGGTTCTCTATTTTATTTCTCTCCCCCGCTCACATTTATCAACCTTTTTTTATATTTGTATGTTGTATTGAGGAACAAATCGGCGCCAAGTGTCGTATTGGTTGAATGCTGAAGGTGGGTGGGAGAGAAGTCGTAGATCAGGATCTCACTTTTCTTTCTCTCCCCCAATCATATTTTTCGACAATTTTTTATTTATTTGTCTGTTGTATTTGCACACAAATCAGCGCCTAGTGTCATCTTGGTTTAATGCTCAAGGGGAATGGTAGGGAAGTGAAAGATGAAAATGTCTCGTTTCTCTCTCTCCCCCACTTACATTTTTCAATTTTTTTTTTTTTTTGCCTTTTGTAATGAGAAACGAATCGGCGCCAAGTGTGATCTTGGCTGAATGCTTAAGTTGCGTGGGAGGGAAATGGGAGATGCCCACTAATTTATTTCGTTTTTGCTTTTTTCTTTTCCTTTTGTTGTGTTGAGAAACCAATTCGCGCCCAATGTCATCTTAGCTGAATGCTCAAGGTGGGTGAGTTGGAAATGAGAGATGAGATTCTCATTTTTCTCTCTCTCCCAAACTCACATTTTTTTACCATCTTTTATTTATTTGTCTGATGTATTTGCAAACGAATCTGCGGCTAGTGTCATCTTGGTTAAATAATCAAGGTGGGTGGGAAGGAAGGGGGAGATGAAGATCTCTCTACTCTCTCTCTCCCCACTTCACATTTTTCGACATTTTTTTCATTTGCCTGTAGCAATGGAAAATGAAATAGCGCCAACTGTGAACTTCGTTGCTGGCATTTTTTTTTCCTTTTTACGTTCGTTTGCATGGGGAAACGAATCTGCGCCAAATGTTATCTTGGTTGAATGTTTAAGGTGGGGGGGGGTGGGAAGTGGGAGATGAAAATCTTCAGCGCCACAGGCGATGACTGGTTCTGTGTTCGAGGGATTATTGAATCCAAGGATGAGAGGATCGATGGGTAAGGATGAAAGTTCAAGAGGTTTTTTCTCACAACGGTGTTCGACGAACAAGGAGGGGATCATGCGAACGCCAACCACAAAGTCAGCCTTGATTACACTTTCTTCAAGAGGTTTGGCACTAAGGCTATTACCATGAAAGCCTTCGACATCTCCCCGAAAGAAGACGGGAGTGTGTTGAGGATGCTAGCCCCCATGAAATTCCTCAGCAAAACGAACGGGTACAAGAGATCCGGATACAGTCCCATGGTTGAGGCTGAACATCGTATATCCCCGACATTCGTGCCTTTTGACACGCCGGACGAGGATCTCCCCGGTATTGCAAATAGAGAGAATTAGAGGAGGCCACACGAGTTTCCAGCACAACAAACGTCAGCGAATGGAAGTCGGTGTCGCACAAACAGAGCCAGCTCCGTCATCCCCCAAAAAAAATAGTTTGTGGTCCTCCAGTGGGTTCGTTCCCCCGGAACGACAATGCTGGGCCATCTCGGTCGTCCAGTCGGCAAGACGAAGGCACCCGTGTCATCATGTACAAAAGGAAGGCCATGGCAACTCCTCCATCTCCCACTCGCCAGAAGGACGATGGTGGTGCGTCCTGGAGGGCAACAATGCGGGAGATAAGCGAAGGATCAGACGACGAAACGGAGAACGATCCTATGACTTTTGTTGGTCGCTATCCACCGGGTAATCATGCCGTCAACGATAAGGAATGTGGGGTCGACGAGGACGACGTCGAAGAGGCAAAATGCGAGGAGGATTATGAGGGCGAGGAGCGTGAAGAATCTATACACGACTGCGAGGGTGGGAAGTCTCGACAGTACTATGAGGAAAACAACCGGCCTTATGGAGAATAAGGTGACACCTATCCTGAACGGTCAGCTGATGTGGAGGTCGATGTGGCAATAAGAGTCTCAATGCGGTCAAAGGGCAGTACCCAGAAAAGGAAGCGACAATCTTCAGCAAGTCCGACGACGACAGTGGATAAGCACACTTCGAAGAAACTCACTGTCGGTGAGTCTGGACAGACACTCAGAGCTCTCAAGTGGCAGCCGCTGAAAGCTTGAAGAAACGGAAAGGGTCGGCGTCAACCAGGACCACAAAAGCGGAGAAACATCCACCGAAAAGAAAACAGACGCTTGATGAAGGTGATTCTGAAGAGGATGCCGAAGAGGTTCCTCCAAGAGCTCCATTGGAACAGACACAACCTTTCGCCAAAACCCATGATGACGCCATCGACACAACACAATGCTTCTTCTTGGAGTTCAATGAAGATGGGTTTGCGAAGAAGAAACGAGAACACACTCAAGTGGATGACACGAAGATATTGCCAATTCCTGAAGGTGACATCTTCTTCAACCATAGAACATTAGACAAAACATTGGTGCAATCCATATATGATGTGATCCATGATGCGGCCAAGGAAACCAATAGGAAGTGGGATATCATGACTTTCATCCTGGCTCCATTGTGCCCAATGGACGGGTATCAAGGTGGACAGATCACACCGAAACAATTCCAAGTGGAACTAGCTCATACATACAATTGGTATGTTGTTGCTGGCCAGCACATGGTTGAGGCAATGAACAGACTCATTAAGGACAAGTCACCAACCGAGAAAGTGTATGGCTTGAGGTCATACTCTCACGTACGTGTTGTCTACTTCGACGATGATACAAAGAGAGGATATTCGTACATCTCGACGTTCGACAACATGAGGGAGGAGCGTTCCATCCCGAGATCCTTTTCGTCATCTGTGCGGAAAATCAGAACATTTTGGGATAAGCAGAATGACAGGATACGTCCTCCAGGCATCGTGTAGCCGAATGACATTGAGGGAATGAAACAGAAAAATAAATGGGAAGCGTTTATGAACGTCGCCTGCAAAATGACACCTGATTCCGGTCTTATGAACTCGTCCCTGGAAAATGAGTACTATAAGAATTGGACGAACAAGATGCGCGGATACATGAATCTTGCGCAGTGCGGCGAGATGGTATGACCACTAGTGCTTAAAGTTTTTGAAATGTACGAGAAAGGACTACTGCCGAGATTCGACGGTGCGAGATACATCGACCTGCCGAGAAAAATGGAAGGGAGGCTTGCCTGGGCAATACTTCCTCAAGGACAACTCCGACAAGAAAATCTTGTTCCAGTACATTAAGGCCAAAAAGGGGGTACTTGGCACAATAGTGTTATACCTGATTTGACAACCACAATCTTCAAGCAGTTTGGCGATATGAGCGGGCGAGAGAAGCAAGTGGCGCTTCACCACATGATGCGTGGTGATGTCATCGTGTCATCACGTTCAGTAGTTCATGGTAGATGCAACATGGTGGACCTAGTGAAATATACTCGGTGTGAAAGATATATGGTTTGTATGTTGAACTATATATTGTTTATTGCCGAAGGAAGGTCAAAAGAAGAGTGGAACGTTGAGTTCTTCATCAGTTATGCCGCCATCATGGATAGGTACAACAAAAGCGGCCTGACTGACGAGAAATGGATTGAGGAACGAGACCGCATCCCTGACGACAAAACGAGGAAGGTGCCAAGGCGTTTGGGCGGTCCAAATGAGGAAAATGGTGAGAACAGTACGGGACTGGAGGCAACCCAGGCCATGTACAAGGAAGCTCTATTCCACCTCAAGTGTTTCATTTACGAGGCGATCGACTGCTTGGACGATCTGAGAGCGGAGGTTAATCGAATATCCTTCAGTGCTTGTCACATCTTTTGTGAAGTGGGGGAGAGGATTACCACGATTCTATCATTTGAAATCGAACCGAAGGGGGTGCTCACCGACAACGCGGAGGTTGTTGGTATGTGCAACCATTCTTGGTATGTCAACATCACCGAAATGTATTCCGTGGGATGATGAGGCATTTTCTAAACTTCACGCTTTCCTGATGACATGATTGGGTGAGAACTGGGCTTTGATCATCTTCGCGCCGATGAAGCATAAAAAACAGGTGATGCAGGGTGTGTGCAAGTGAGATGATGTCGAGGTGCTCACTGGGTTATGACACAAACACTTCGCACCTTCGACAACCTTGAATAATTAAGGCAACATTGCAGTTCGGTACGGTGACATGATGACCACTGTCCTCCACGCCGAAAACGACAATTTGGAGAATATAAGGGTTGCGCCGAAATTGCGACCAGAGTTGACAAATTTGAACGTTCAAGAGTAAGAATTTGTGAGGTGCACAGGGGAATGTATCGGCGTGTCGGGCGACATTGACCCAGTTTATTCTTAGATGGAACGAGAGTCAGCACGTCCCCGGAAACTTTGCAGCTCGTTCATCAGGGAGGACAATGGCATAATGTTGTTGGGTGAGGCGCATGCGAGACTGATTCGGGAACAGGCTCGTGCCGGACACTAGGTGTTTGTGTGTGACGACACCACAAAAGAGCTCACATACCTTTTAAAGTTCTTGGAGTTTTATGTGAAGGATCCCAGGAACAAATGTAGGTTTGAAAAACCCCAAGTGGAGCACCGAAAGGACAGAGACATATACTACAAGCTTGGCAGAAAAAAAGAGAAAATGTGGGCTTACTTGTTCGGTGATGCTCCACTGTGACAGTCGGTGGTTGTTAACGACTACGTCGTCAGGAAAACTAAACTTGAGATAGCAATGAATGAGTATCATGGCTCGCACATGGGTGTTTTCCACATGTTCGCCGCACGTTGTGAGCATCTGTGTTTCACTATGAAGTAAAAATCAGTGACAAGCAGGGACTATGCAGACTGGGCACGTAAAGACGGCAACTTCAACAACATCGATTGCGATGAGGACACATCAGACTCCGACCTCAACGTTCCATTGCACGCGATGCGAGGTGTGGTTGAGGGAGCACATGCTGATGAGCCCCAAGGAAGCACCAATAGAGCTGTGGAGAAGGTGAGCTCGAGTTTGGGAGCGGCACGTACGAGTGATGGAAATGTGGAAACAAGGATGAATTCAAGGGGAGAAAATAATGGTGTACCAACGAACCCGGTGGGTGCGAGTGAGGGAGATGTTAACTCACGGGGCAGCATAGGCGGAGGAGAGAATGGGTGTGCAATCACCCGGACGACAGTTGGACCATCATCGACACATACACCGTAGGCTGAGCAGTGAACGCTCACGTCAATGGACACAGATGAAGACGAAGATTTTGATATCACAACACTCACACCAAAGCTTGTGCTGGGAAAACCATTACCTCAAGGTTTTGCTCTAGACCCTCCCTACCATACTTGCTGCAAGACAAGTACAAGGAGTCATCGGAGGAGGATTGGGGTCATCATATTCCATGGCATGAGGGCGTGTTTAAACCGTGTGTGTTCGCAGGCAAGTGGCACATGGCTGTGAAGACAAGAGACCGTGGGTGGGTCGCGAAGGAAAGAAAGGACGCTGCGATATGGCGCAACGTGACAGAAACGCAACTTTTTCGGCGAGTGGAAAAAAAAATATCGGTGCAAGCTAGGTGGCTTTAGCGGCAAAGGCGAAAACAATGTTTGAGAATCTGCGTGCGAACAAACAACTGGAATTCAGCACAAAGTTCTACGACCTTGTATCAAGTGCGTCGTACGACTCCATTGATTGAAAAATCGACACCACTAGTACAAGGAATCGAAGGCATTAACTCTTCGAAGACTCAACCTCATCGCATCCAACACCATGATCGTAATTGCTAGAGATGAGGCAACCTGCCAAACGGACAAACGTGCAAACACAGGTCACATGGACAACGCACAGTTGTGAGCAGGTGCTCAACAAAGCACACCGAGAAGCGCAATGGGGAATTTCACTAGGATACACAAGGACAACGACGACATGGAGTCAGGCACATTGACGGAGCAACCAAGGGGTGGGGTCAATGATGGGGCAAAAATCGTTGGATCTTTCGGGTCTCTTGTAGCGACAATGGCAGCGAGGTAAGGTGTATCTGGGATGATGGAGACCGATGCTGGCCAGGATGGTGAAAGCCAGATGGTGAAGGTGGTAAAAGAGGAAGAGACAGCAACAACAAAGCAGATGAAGAAAGGAGAGAGATCCCGCGCACACAATTTTATAATAGATATGAGATCGGAAAGTACAGACGAGGATATGATCCAAGATAACGAGCAGAAATGTAAGGCAGCACCAAGAGTGGAAGGTAACCACAAAGAGGACACGCAACGAATGAGACAGTCGACGAGAGTCGTGACTAAGAAAACTAAGTTAGGTGTGTAGACAATGCTTAGTGGACTGCCAATCACAGGGGGTGCCCCATCTCGATACGTAGGTGTGTGTGTGTGTGTGTGTGTGTGTGTGTGTGTGTGTGTGTGTGTGTGTGTGTGTGTGTGTGTGTGTGTGTGTGTGTGTGTGAGTAGGCAGAGGTGGACTCGTTAGTAGCGTTAGGTTCTGTGTGTGGATTAAATTTTGTGCATGTGCTTGGTACAATCCTTTAATAAAGACATATGAAAACACACTATCTGGAGCAATCATTGTGTGGCAGGGTCACGTATCGACGATGATGTATTGTGCTGAGAAATATGTGTATTTGCTATTGTGTTTTTCACTGATCCTATGAATGTGCGAAAAAATACAAGTCACAAAGGATCAACAAAAAAAAATAAAAACAATCAATGTGCGTCATGAGAGCAACGTCGGGTGCTCGACAGGTATGGTGTCCACGACGCACTGACAGGTGTCACGAGAGGTAAGGGACGCTTTGCCTGCCATGTGTTAAAGACGCCTCTAATGTCAGAGAAGTTGTTCTGCCATCTTTTAGCACAACCCAAGGGTCGTTTTAACCAAACTTCCCACGAACTCGAAAAATGGAAACCATATTAACAAAGTGAAAAAAAAAAAAAAACGTAAAAAACATGTCAAACAGCAAGGGTGGAGTGCACGTATATGCAAAATATTGCCAATACGAACATCAAAGAACAACTGAAAGTAGGGTCCCCGTTGACCACCATAAATCGCGATAATTTTTATTAACCGCCTTGTTCCCTGAAACTACAGTTAAATTTGGCAAGAATTGTAGTTGTGTTTTGTCGCATTTCCCGCGGAATGGTAGATGTCAGAGTGTCCATATCAACTGGCCATAGTATCCTGTTGGCGGGATTTAGTAATTGAAATTTTTTATGCTATTTCGGGGATGCAAAGATTGCAGGCCTCAATAACGATAACTTAAGCTCACACATAATGCATTGTGATGTGCAGAAAGGTGGAACAAAGAAGAAGTACGGAGGTGCAAAAAGGGATGGACGATCCACTTAGCAACGGATAAGTTATCGGAGAAGGAGACGACCGCGGTACAACATTTGCAAGAGTAAATGAAAGTGGAGAATCTAATGGTCTGGACATCCACGTACAATAGGGCAACAAAATAATAATTAAAACTAATCAGGTGATGATTTGAGCTTGATATTGCTTCAAGGCAAATGGTTAAACACCGACATAGTTAACTTTTATTTGAACCTCACTAGGTTTGACAACATGTGTCGCACAAACCATCGTGAGTGTGATATTGAAGAAGACGGAACCGTTGTAGAAGGAAAAGGGTGCATCCCGACATTAGCAATTTGAAGTTCTTTTTTTTTACGAAATTGTTCAACAAGGACATGAAATACCAATATAGCGCAGTGCGAAAGTGGCTGCCAGATATTGATGTGGGTGGCGTGGACTTAATAATAGCTCCATTCCATATTCGGATATCCAACCATTGGACACTTGTGATAGCGGATTTGGGACACCGGAAAATGGAGTACTACGACTCGCTTACGCTTGTTCGAAAGATCGGTTGAAAAAGGTAAGGTGGTAGATACAAAAGAATTCAACCACATATGAAATGTGTCAGGCATTCCTAGACAGCGCGACATTAACGATTGCAGTGTGTTTATGCTAACATATGCGTCACTATTGGCAAAAGGATTTATCCCGCCATTCAACTTCTCTTTCGGCGACATCCACAATATAAAGGGACAGATCACTTTAGATGTACTTGTCACACCGAACTAGGAGTTCCATGTGCAAGAAATGACATATGATAGATGACACTACCAAAGCAAAACTGTTGTTCACTTCGTACAAATGTACATAAGTTCTTCATTCGCTATGGTGGAGAGACACACATGAACATGTTCGAATGTATTTAACAAAGTACCAGCGCGACATTCCTGATCGAACAACATTGCTGTGTTACTTCAGCTGACCTCGTACCATTGCCACCCCTTATCCCTAATCCCTTACCCCTTACCCCTAATCCCTTACCCCTTATCCCTTACCCCTTATCCCTTATCCCTTACCCCTTATCCCTTATCCCTTACCCCTTACCCCTTACCCCTTACCACTTTACCCCTTTACCCCCCACCCCTTTACCCCCCACCCCTCACCCTATACCCCTTACATACTTCGTAAATTAGATACAAAAATCCCAAAAAAATGGAGTTTCAGTTTCAAACAAAAAATAAAAAATGTCCGTTTTGACGAAATCGCAGTTCTTGGCTATGGCTTCTCTCTCCTCCTTCGTCTCTTTCACCTTCACCCCCGGCTATGGCTTCTTTTTCCCCTTCTTCGTCTCTCCTTCCTCCTTCACATAGTCTTCTTACTCCCTTCTAGTCTCGTTCGTCTTTCTCTTCGCATCCGAGCTCGGCTGCTATGGCCGCCACCTTCTTCCTGAACCACACAACCAATCTTGTATCGGTCCTCTCTCTCTCTCTCTCTCTCTCTCTCTCTCTCTCTCTCTCTCTCTCTCTCTCTCTCTCTCTCTCTCTCTCTCCCTCTCTCTCTCTCTCTCCCCCCTTCGCCGTCGTCGTTGTCTGTGCAGGTACGAGGCGTCTTCCTGCAGCGGCTCAGCTATGGCGGCTCTTTCTTCTTCCTAGTGACGACGACGATGGCGGGKGGAACAGCGGGAACCAGCTCCGATACCAATGCAATCAGACTCGTTTTCTACTTACTCAGCATGCATGAAAACATATGGCAATCACACTGGGGACGAGCGGCCACAAAAAGCTCAGAGATATCGTGGCCAAGAACACAGCTCAGATTCAACTCGCTTTGAATGGCTATGGCGCCTGTGCGCCCTCACAACACCCTTCCACGCTGTATCCTCAGCACTGTTCACACTCTCCCTGGATGTCCCACACATGCACACAACTTACTGCACACTCACTCACACACACGCTGTAGACTACCTCTAACCTATAGCAGCTATGGCTGCGTTCTACCTCTACCACTAGCAAGCGGCTATGGCCGCTTCGTCTCCCTTTCCAGTCCATTTCTTCCTCGGACGCCTGCAGACCTCCTTGCACAAGTCGCTCAGGCAGCGCTTCCGCACGCCTCACAGTCTGAATGAATGAATAACTGGACGCTGCCTCTTGATTTATTCTTCAGTTGGTCGCTGGTCTGCTCCTTTCCTTCAAGCCTAGGATGAACACAGTCCCACATGGTACTTGCTGACTGGACACGGTGCGACTGGGACTGGGTACCGCTTACTAGACCTGGTAAGTCTGCCCACTTGCCCACTTGCCCACTTGCTCACTTGCCTACGGACTGCTTCTGAGACTCCCCAAGGGGCAGTCCTAGACGACTCTAGACTTCCTACTTGCCCTTTCGGTACTGTAGCAGCTACGAATAAGGTTGACCCTTCAGACCTACAGCAGCTACTACCAAACATAAGCTATGACTCCTACCCGAAAGGTAAGCAGCTCGAACCTACTGAAACCTTGTATCTACAACAGCCTTAGACAGACAACTTTAGGGGCAGGTAACAGGTTCGAACATTGATGGGGCAAACTGTACTGTACACGGGTTCGGGGCAGGTCTAGGGATCGAGCCCTGGGATCTACATCTGCCACTGCAAAGGTGAAAACCGTTTCATCATAACTTTTCCGCTTTCTTGTTTTCCCTTTCCATCTATTGGGCGGGAGTGCACCTGCTGGAGACTGGGTCCAGTGTCTGAGGTGGTGGCGAGTTGAGTCTGCCCACAGTAACAGGTGTCTGTTTAAAAAAAAAAAACATCATGACAAGCAGCCACTATTCGCGGGGTCGCTCAGCCATCAAATTCCGCCAGCTTTTCAGACAAAAAAAACATCACAGGAAGGAAAATGGAATCCCACCCATGTCTTGGCCTATCTGTATGTAGTTGGTGCAAGTTGGTGGGCTTCTGCTTTCTCAGTGTATACTAGAGGGATTCTCCCCATTGGCCTGAAAGCTCAGAGGTGTCCACATGAGAGAAGGACCTCAGGACATGGTGGGTTCTTGTATTACTTAGACAACGGTCCTCCATTCTGCTTCAACCAGGGCTGGGTGGCCCATCCAGCCTTGGTGCGTATACCTGCTATTCGGTCCAAATCACCCTCCAAGATGGTGGATGAAAGCCCTGAGTGATTCACACTGTGGTAGAATAGTGGTATAGGGGGTGCGCTCGGAGTATTGATGAGAGGATGGGTTGGGAGGTGGCCTCATAATTGGCAGGATAACCAATGGCTGATTGAGACTGCAACCAGCCTATGTCTGGAATCAGGCCTCTACAACAAGCTGGTGCAAGGAATGTGCGCGAGAGCGATAGACAGAGAACCAAGTTGCAAAACCACGCAGAAGTCCAGATAGTCATGTACCAAGCACCAAGATTCCATCCACACAAGAGTGATACAATGAACTCGTGAGCCAATGTCCAAGCCCTCAGGCCACACTAACGCAGTATCCAATGTCGCTCCTACTATGGCGCCCACCGCCCAGTCTACTCTACTCAGCCTATCTATGCTATCTACATTAGTGCAACCGAACACCAATGTGCATGACGTCAACACCAATGCCGACCTCCCACATACAGCAGGTACGTTCTCTCTTCTCCCCTCAGACCTTGTCCACCCACTCATGCGCCTCCTTCCATGAAGACCAAGGTCGCCCATCACCTGCCCACGCCCTGCAGACCGACTGTGGCCGCTAAGCGCCCCGCTGCCCTGTACCGCCCTTCACCTCATAGCGCCGCGTCCGCCCCAACCAGCGTGGGCTAATGCAGACACCTGTGCAGCAACACAGCAGCGTGTCCGCATTGCCTGCCTAGGCCAGAATGCCAGCCTCTGGCCGGCCCCCTCCCTATATGGGAGCAGCTGGCCTGCTGTGTTGCCTGGGCCTGGCCGAGGAAGTTTCCAGTAGCTTCTGGTCCGGCCCCAGTGTCTGCGCTCAGGCCCATTCCTACAGTTAATGGCCTGGGCCCTCTTCAGTTGGGCCCCTTCAGGTTGCCTCGAGGCTCCAAGTGTGTGCCGTGTTTGCATCGGGCCGCGGGGTAGGTGTGACGCCAATGCTGCATTCTCATTGGCCTGCGGCCACTTCGTGATGTGTCGGCCTCACACTGCGTGTGCCCAGGGTGCAATCACCTGCGTCCTGGGCTCAACTGCTTGATGCAGCTGCTGCTTCTGGAAGGAGACAGGGAGAGGCCCAGGTTGCACTGCAACCAACCGGCGTGCTGCAACTGTCTGATACCCACATTGGAAAATGCTGAGATAAGGCCTCTCGTGCATATTTAGGCCCGCCTTCACTCAGGGCGGGCACAAGGCTTGGTGGGGGGCTCAGTCCAGAACAGGTACATGTTGGCTAGGGGCCCATGAGGACACATTCCTCACATTCAATCCCCCTTAGCTTCAGAAGTCCGCTGAGATGCTTCTTAAGCTGGTGCCTTCCCCTTCAACTTACGTTCATACACTGCCAGAATCTGAGGGGCTGTTTCAGCAAGCTGCTCTGTGGTGAACCAAAGATCTTTGTTTGGGTCTGTATGATGCCTGAATCTGACCCTGTATTCCCTCATGGGTTTTGGCGGTCTTCCCCTGCCCACAGGCTTGGGAACAGGCAAATCTCTGTGCTCCAGGATGTCGTCGACGTCCACATGGCCATCCATGGTTGGGGGCAGCATTGATCTCGTTGATGGGACACATTCCTCACACCAGGTTTAATAAAAAAGAAAAAAAGAAGAAAAAGAAGTGCGTAGAGCAATTCTCCCAATTTGAATCGGCTTGAGACTTCAGAGGAAAAAGAAAGTGGCCACATAAGAAAGGACTTCTTTTTCTATAATGAAGGAGGGTTCCTTTTTTTTTCCTGAGACTGTCACAGTGGTTTGTTGTTTTCTCAAAGGAAATGCACAGAGGGATCTCGTCCATTGGGTCGAAACTCCAGAGGGATAAGAAACAGACATGTGTAGTGGGTTCCTGTTTCCTCAGAAGAAAGTGCGTAGAGGGATTCTCCCCATTGACTGAAAAAGTTCAGAGGAAAGTGCCCAGATAAGACAACGACTAGATACGCAAAAGGCCACATCTGTAGGAGCCAGGAGTGGTCCATATCTGTGTGGCAG